AAAAAACCCACCAAAACAAAAAACCCAAGCAAAAAAACCCTGCAGATCCTTTATGTGTCTTATTAGATGTACAACTATTTTAGTTTTTGAGTGATTGCAAATGTTTTTTTAAAATTTTGGTCTATGTGTTATGTGTTGCTATATATAAAAATATTAGCTTTTATGTGGTTACCATGTATATCTTGTTAAACTAATTTATTAGGTAATATAAGAATTTGGGGGTCAATTACTTAGGATTTTCTGTGTAGACAATCATGTTACTTGCAAATAGTTCTCTCTCTTTCTCTCTCTCTTTCTCTTTCTCTTTCCTCTTTCCTTTTTCCTTCTGGTATGAATGATTTTATTTCTTTCTCTTGCTTTATTGTAATGGCTAGGACTCCCAGCACTAAACTGAATAAATATTATGACAATAGACACCCTTGCTCTGGTCCTGATCTCAGAGGGAAAGCATCACGGAGCGCTTTGCCAGCCATGGGTGTCCAGTCGTCTCCCTTTGCTTCGTCTTCTTTAGCCTGTTAATGTGCTAGGTTACATTGCTCCCTAAATTTGACTATGGAGCCAACTTTGTATTTCTAGAGTAAATTTAACTATAATATGTAATATTTTTGTAGATGCTGTTATATTTGGAGTTTTGAAATGAATTTCTGTCCCTAACGCATGAAGGATGTTGGTCTGTAGGTCTTTCTTTTCGTACTGTTGTCTGGCTTTGGTATCGGGGTTATACTACCTTTATGAAATGAATGAAGAAGTATTCTCTCTTTTATTTCCAAGAAAATACTGAATAGAATTAGGATTAATCCTTTATGTGCTTGATAGAATCCTGCCGTGAAACCTCTGGGCCTGCAAATTTTTACCATTCAGATCTAACTATTCCTATTATGAATTATTTATTAATAAGTTGTACTTATTCCATGTGCCCCCTTCTTTTTCAATTGAAAAAGTAGCATAAACAAACAGATGATTCATGGTCCTCCTGAATCCCAGTTGCCACCTTTAGGGTGACTGAGTGCAGTCCTGAGCATCTGTGCCTGCCGGCCCTCGGCCTCCTCCCAGTGCAGGTGTGTTGACTGGGCTTCAAGACTGGGCTTCAGCCTCAGCTCCCCGTTGCGTTCAGCTTTGTGGGAAACCCGGCCTGCTTGGCTACTGACTTGATGCTTTTTGCCAGTCCTCCCCCTTCTCCGGCCTTCCTCCTCCTGCTGTTCCTGGAACCCTGCTGATGCCTCCCACACTTTTGAGAGTCTTTCATTGTTTACTTTTGCTGCTGTGACCCACCTTCTCATCCCTCTCTTCCAGGAAGTGAATTTCTGTTTAATCCAAGTCTGAACATTATACTTTGGACTATGGAACACCCTGGAGGGATCAACCCTATCACCTAGGTCAACACTCTCCTCAGAGAGCCTGGCTTCCTCTTCCTCACATCTCATAGCCAAGGTTCTGTGGCCCCAGCGGGTATATAAACTAAGATGGGATAAATTTTAATGGAAGAAAAGTCATCTCATTCCTTCAAATTGCTATAAATATCATTAATATGACCCTTAGTCTGTCTCTTTGAATTTCAGTGATCTAAAATGTCTTAATTTCTTTACTATGCTTTATATCTAAATGGATATAAAGTATCTAAATGGAATAGATAATTTCTTACATTTTTTGTTGTTGTGTTTTGAGACAGGATGTCAAACTAGATACATAGTCAAGGATGACCTTGAACTTCTAATCCTCCTGCCTCTACCTCCCAAATATGGGCATTACTGGTTTTGGACATCACACCCAGATTTATGTTTTGCAGGAGACTGAACCCAGGGCCTTATGCATGTTATGCAAGCACAGTACCAATTGAGATACATTCCGGCCCTCTTACATGTTTAACATCACCCATAGTATCTTCAGTTTAACAAAAGTGATAGATGCATTTTTCTGGTATGATTAAAGGAAGGAATAAT